AACCATTTGTGTGTTACATGGATAATATAAAATATTTGGCAGATATATTTAATGACTATACATGCGTTTATAACTAGATCTCATGAATTAGTATACTGTCTCTTTAATCAATAATAAAGAGATCCAAAGTTATATCTAAAGCTCATTATCAATGATCCATATAAAGTTAGATAACTATTTTTAGTTTTCAAACTAGCACTCTAACTTATAATTATTTGTGTAACACTAATTAGTGAAAATTCTTCTTATATCCACCATCATTTTTACTTTTTACTGCAATATAAATTCTATAAATACTTAACATTTACAGGTCAAACACTACAATAAGATAACTAAGGACTTATGTGGAGCACGATTGTCACAAGTTTATAGTAATGGTTGGGTACACTTGGCTATACACGCAACGCGCGTACCCAAATACTAGTAACTTAAAAATACCCTTTAACTATTAGTTGTGATAAAACTTAAGAACAAAGGAACAATGGCAAGATGAAAAGAAGAAGAATATAAGACAATAAAAGAACAATATAAGCTAATTTTCTTTCTTTTAAATGTATCAACATTATTCTCAACACCACTATTTATACGATTACATTGAGGAATACCAAAGGATGTCATAAAACATTACATTAAACCTTGATAATTACTACCCATTATGGAGGAAACAAAACTAGGATTTATGCTCATCCATTTGACTATATTATAAACAACATTACTGCCACTAAAGGATGAAACTAACCTAGGAGTTATGATCATCCATTTGACCACATTATCAACAACATTATACTCATAAAGAAGGGAATTAACTAAGGAGTTATGGTCATCCATTAAATCACCAAAATGATTTACAACATTCCCCCCTTGGATGACTGTTGATAGATAATATGCCTCGTTAAAATCTTACTATGAAAAAACCCCGTGGGAAAAAATATTAGTGAAGGACAAAAGAGTACACATATCTTGTTACACACTTTATTTGTTGCCTCGTTAAAAATCTTGCTAGGAAAACCTATTGCGATAAAACCTAGGCCAAGGGAAAAACAGTGTAGCGCGTAGTTTACTCCCCCTATAGCAAACATCATTTAATTTCTTGGAGACAACACATTGCAATCTTAGATACCAACTTTTCAAATGTTGAGGTTGGTAATGCTTTAGTAAACAGATCCACCAAATTATAAACTGAGCGAATTTGTTGAACATTTATTTCACCTTTCTTATCAAGATCACGAGTGAAAAAGAATTTTGGTGAAATGTGTTTTGTTCTATCTCTTTTAATGTATCCTCCCTTTGGCTAAGCTATACATGCAACACTGTCTTCGTACAATGTAGTTGGGATATACTTTTGCATAAAAAACCCGCACATTTCTTGAATATGCTGCGTTATTGATCTTAACCAAACACACTTTCGACTTGTTTCATGGATGACTATTATTTCTGCATGATTTGAAGAAGTAGCAGCTAATGTTTTCTTTATTGAACGCAAAAATATAGTTGTGCCTCCATATGTAGATAAATAGCCTGTATGAGATCGAGTTTTATGTTGATCAGACAAATATCCAACGCCTGCATAACCAAACATTTCTGACTTGTATTTATTATAATAAAATAATCTCATATCAATGATTCCTTGAAGACATCTGAATATACATTTTACTCCATTTCATAGTCTCTTTGTAGGTGCTGAGCTGAATCTTGCCGATAAACTTACTGCAAAACAAATATATGGTTGAGTATTATTGTCCAGATATATTAGTTCCCCAATAGCACTAAGATATAGAGTTTCATTACGAACAAGTTCTTCATCATTTTATTGAGGTTGAAATAATTTTTATGTATGGCAAGCGATCTCACAACCATCAGGGTACTCAATGGATGTGATCTATCCATGTAAAATCACTTAAAAACCTTTTGTATATATGTTGATTGATGGACAAATAAATCATTTTTCAAATGCTCAATCTGTAGGTCAAGAAAATTTTTGTCTTACCAAGATATTTCATTTGAAATTCTGTCATTAAACCATCAAAAACTTTTGAAAGCTCATTAGAAGTGACAATAATATTTAAATCATCAACATACACAACTATTATAACAAAATCAGATCCAGATTTTTTTTTTTTATAAAAACACAAGGACAAATTGGGTCATTTTGTACCCTTCTTTTAGCAAAAATTGGCTAAGACGATTGTACCACATCCGTCCTGATTGTTTTAATCCATATAAAAATTTATGAAGTCTTATCGAACAACTTTCTTGCGAATTTTTATATGTTTCAGGCACATTGAGTACTTTAGAAACTTTCATGAAAATATTGTGGTACAATGAGTCATATAAATAAGCTGTGACAACATCCATTAGACGCATTTCAAGATTTTCATGAACTGCCAGATTTATTAATATACCTGAAAGTATTTGCATCCACTATAAGAGAATATGTCTCCACATAATCAATGACAGACCTTTGCGAAAAACCTTGTGCCACAAGTCGTGCTTTATATTTTACGACTTCACCTTTTTTATTTCGTTTTCGCACAAAAATACATTTGTACCCCACTGGATTGACATCTTCAGGTGTTTAAACTATTGGTCTAAAAACTTTATGTTTTTCAAGTGAAGTCAATTCTGCTTGAATTGCCTCCTTCCATTTTGATCAATCATTTCTCTGCCAGTTAACAATTGTCTTATTGGGATATCAACTCGAACTTGAGCAATTGCAGCTGGATTATAAGATTTAGTAACCTTTGGAAGGTTAGTAAATGCATCTGGCAGTTGATTTGTAACATTTTGCAAATAAATCATCTTTTTAACCTCTTGCTCACATTGATTTTTTCAAGGATCCAAATGAGATTACATATATTGAATTCCAATCTATCTCTTTTTCCAACTATTTATGTCCCCCCCCCTCCTAATGTTGGGTATACTGATACATCAAAATGACAGTCAACAAACCTTGCCTAAATATATCTTCTATCATATGCTCCAAATATTTAATAATAGATGGAGATTCATACTCAACATACACTCCCAACCTTCTTTGGGGATCCATCTTTGTGCATTGTGATGGTTCAATTGGAACGTATACCGTGCACCTAAAAATTTTAAGACGGGAAATATTTGGCTCATGACCAAAAACAAACTGTAGTGAAAAGAATTCATGATAATTAGTTGGTCTTATGTGCCCCAATGTTGTTGCATGCAAAATAGCATGCCCCTACATTGAAGCAGGCAACTTTGTCCTCATTAACAATGATCTAGTTATCAATTGGAGACGCTTGATCAAAGATTCACTAGACCATTTTTAGTATACACATGAACAATTGGATGTTCAATTGCTATCCCCGTGGACAAACAATATCACTAAAGGCCTGCGATGTAAACTCACCAGCATTATCAAGACGAATTGTCTTTATTGCATAATATGAAAATTGTGCTCTTAATCTTATTATTTGAGCTAACAACCTCGCAAAAGACATATTACTAGTTGATAATAAGCACACATGTGACCATCTTGTTGATGAATCTACCAAGACCATATAATATCTAAATGGCCCACATAGAGGGTTAATTGGACCACATATATCATCCTATATATGTTTAAAAAATGCAGGAGATTCAATCCCAACCTTAGCTGCTGATGGTTTAATAACCAACTTTCGTTGAGAACAAGCAGCACAAGATAATTTCTTTGATTGAAGAATTTTCTGATTTTTTAAAGTATGCCTATGTGAGTTCTCAAAAATTTTGCGCATCATATTATAACCGGAATGGCCCAATCGTTCATGCCAAATGATAAATCATTAGGATTAGTAAACACTTTGTTTACTATGACATGTAATTCAACCATACTAATACGTGTATGGTACAATTCAGAAAAAAATGCGATAATTTTTCATGCACATATTTTGTCCCAATTTAACTGTAGTAATATAAATGTATTCAACATTTCCTTCATTGATAGTCTCAACATGATATCCATTTTGACGAATTACATTGAAACTTAATAAGTTTCTTTGAGACTTACTACAATACAATGCATTTTCAATATTTAATATTGCTTCCCTATGTAGTAGTAAGGTCACTCTCCAGAGCCCTCAATTAATTTTTCACTACCAGATATTGTATTAACATAAGACTTTTCATAATTAAATTAGAGAAATATTTTCTTTCTGTTAAAATAGTGTGAGTTGTAGAACTATCAAGAAGACATATTTCTCCATTACTCATCTTGAACCAATTGAAGATTGAGGAATTTTATTTCTTTTCAAAAAATAAAAGTACATCATAAGAAATATGAAAAATCAACAACTTTGCAAGAAAATAAAATTACTATTTTTCCGAATATAAAAACAACATAAGGAAAAACATAACAATTAAAAGCACATATATAACAACATAATTATTTTTTCCTAATCAAATGATCAAACATTAGTTTTGATTTCCTAAGAAGTCTTCAACTTCCAAATGATTAATGTCATCAAGGTCATCAAAATCATCATCTGTTAAAGCCAAATATGCTTCAATATTGTCATCATGTTTTTGTGAAGTCTCTGCCTTGGCTTCATTTTTACAAGTCAAGTGTGACTCCACCCCAGCATTAATAGAAGATGCACCAGTTTTATTTCCTTTTCTTTTCAAGGAATCGTGATAAAGCCTAACAAAATGCTCAGCTGCTCGGAATGCATTCTTCCAATGCCCTTTCATGTCACAACGATGAAAGTTGCCTCTTGAAGGATTGATTTGAGAACCCATATTGTTCTATCTTTTGTGGTGACTACCACCACGATAGTTATTATATCGTCCTCTGTCATTGCCACGTCCACACACATTATTTTGACCTTGATTTTTATTTTGTCTTCTTGCAGACTGGTCATGTGCTTCAACCTTACATTCGGTATCGGAGCAGTTCCTGTAGGACAGGCCTTATAGTTTTTTAATAAAAGAGTATTATTTTTCTCAGCCACAAGAAGGCATGAGATCAACTCAGAATACTTTTAAAATTCTCTTTAACGGTATTGTTGCTGTAATATCAAATCTGAGGCATGAAAACTTGTGAGAGTTTTTTCCAACATGTCCTCATCTTTTATGTCCTCCCCACATAATTTCAATTGGGAAGTAATTTTGTATACAACATAATTATATTCACATACAGTCTTAAAATCATGTAACTGTAAGTGAATTCATTCATAACGAGCCCTTGACAATATCGTTTCCTTAAGGTGGTCCTACCTTTCCTTCAAACCAGTCCACAATTCAAGTGAATTTTTCACCGTAAGGTATTCAACCTTCAATGCTTCATCCAGATGATGACAGAGGAAAATCATTGCCTTTACTTTGTCCTGACTCGACGTTGTATTACCATTTGTAATAGTGGCACCAAGACCTTTAGAGTCAAGGTGAATTTCAGCGTCGAGTACCCATGACAAGTAATTATTTTCAGAAATGTCAATTTCACGAACTCAAACTTTGTTAAATTCGACATGATAAAACTATCATAGAAAATAATTAAATTAGAGTAAAATAGACAATGAGTTAATAAGTGAATAACAAAACTTTTATTTTCATTAAAGTAAAATTAGCATACAATCTAAATAAATATTATGTCTCACAGGTAACAAAAATAACTTTGAGTAAAATTGTTAGATTAAGTGTTTTCATTAAAAATTAATCAATAATATAGATAAGTCACTTTTTCCATCTCGAACAAAAATACACTAGAATTTGTAATCCATTCATTTTTTTTCACAAAACAATGACCTTCGTCGTCTCTTCGCAAAATAGATAAATGGTTAACCTTTTTTTTCATTCATAAATAAAATGTAAAGTAGAAAAAGTATAACCACAATTTAATAATTTTATCATTAGATTATAAATGGATACCTCACAAGAAATTTTGTTCAACCTTGACATTTCGTGTTGATAACGTGTGATAAAACTTAAGAATAAAGAAACAATAGAAGATGAAGAGAAGAAAAATATAAGGTAATAGAAGAACAATATAAGCTAACTTTCTTTCTTTCAAGTGTATCAACATTATTCTCAACACCACTATTTATAGGATTACATTGAGGAATACCAAAGGGTGTCATAAACATTACATTACACCTTGAGAATTACTACTCATTATGGAGAAATAAAGCTAGGAGTTATGCTCATCCATTTGACCACATTATCAACAACATTACTACCAACAAAGGATGAAATTAACATAGGATTTTTCGTCACCCATTTGACCACATTATCAATAACATTACTACTCAAAAAGAAGGGAATTAACCGAGGAGTTATGATCATCCACTTAACCACCAAAATGATTTACAATATTAGTTTATTTTTTTAAGATCATTTAAAATATTTTTTTCATTTAATATTTATTTTGAGATTCAATGAATTTTGGTTGTTCGTATTATGATAATTAACATTCCTATTTCTGGCTAGACTTACAATTCAATACTCGTTATTAAATTGTAAGTTATTATTAGAAAGAAAAAACTAACAATCTTTACATCATTCCACGTTGTAATAGTGATAATTTTCATAATCACAGTTAATTTAATAATTGGTCAAAATGATTTTCCATTAGACAATTAATATATTTGAATTCTTTCCCATAATTTATCCTTAGATTATAATTTTAATTTCTACATTACATTTGAATGTTAAATTAAATAGTAAATAGCAATCATCACATTAGTATACATAAATTACCGCTAACTCTTCATTATGTAATGTATTAACTCCAACAAATCATATTCATTATGTTTTTAACTCACATCTCTCATCAATAATTTTAAATGGATTAATATATTCATTACAACTTTTTTGTGTTTCTCAATGCTATCCTATAAATAGTGATATTTGACACGATAATGTACACACTTAACCTAATTGAAAAAAAAATATTAGAAAATTTCTATAATCTCTTCTCTTGTCTCTTTTTATTTGTTTAGTTTAACATTTCTGTATTTTGTTTGTTGTTATTGTATAAGTTTCTATTGTGTTGTTTTGTTATTATATTGAGAATTTACAATGATTTGTTGTTGTGTATGTATTTTTCTATCATTTGGGATTTTACTATCCTCATTTGGATATTGAATTTGTGCAATAGGTAGTTATTTTTACTAAATACACTTTTAGTCAATTTTATAGTTAAAGGTATATTGTTTTTAATAGGAAGATATATATAGTTTCTATCAAAATAATGATTAATTTTTTTTCATAAATACCAAAGATTTGAAAGGGATAAAATATATCATTTGCAATACAAAATTTATATGAAGTATTTTGGAATAAACGTGCAACACACTTTCCAAAATTTAGTATATTATTAAAACTCTACTAGAAATTGTGCCTACAACAATGATACTTATGGCAACGGTTCTAATATCATTGCCATAGAAGTCGTATTGCAACGATTTACCCATTACATAAGATACATGACGATATTAGTATATCATATTTTTCAAACCGTTACTATTAAGAAAAAACCATCGCCATAGAGTTGGTAGTGCAACGATTGTATTATAAGTTATTATATATATATTGATAGTGTCTTACAACAAAGATGTCTATTTCATATAGATCATGCAATATCTTGTTAGAATCGTATGTCGAATAAGTAAAATAAGCAACTGCAACAGAACATGAAATTGTTGCAATAGATTAAGCAAATGTCATAATAAAACTTGAACTCGTTGATTTAGCATAAAAAATAACTAATGTTAAAAGAAAATAATCGTTGCAATAGATATGCTATGGAAACAGTTACAAATCGTTGCATATACCAACTATTTTTGTTGCATCAGAAGGATGGAACAACTGTTGCTATTGGAGTGTCTATGGCAACACAAAGTTACAACCGTTGCAATACCTCTATGACCACGAGCTAATGTAACACATGAAAACCGTTGTGCTAGATCTATGACAATGGTTTTGAACCAAAACAGTAAGCTTCCAAAGTCTTTACTCCATTGAAGAGGCTTGAAGCTTTAGCAAGAAGAAGAAGAAGAATGGAATGTATAACTGTTGTATTGAATTCATCTACTACACGTGAGGATCTGTGTTGCTTATATAGCAATCAGATGCTGAAAACAAAATACAAACTAACTAACTAATTCTACACACTAATCGATGTAGCAACCTACTTACTTGAAATTACAATAATAGGCCTAACTAACTACCAACTAACTTCAACTTCTAACTAACTTTTGAATAGTTAGTTGCTGCCACTAAACTAACTCATCTTCAACTTCTCTTAACACACCCCCTTAAGCTGATGAGTGTATAACACTGATCACTCCAAGCTTTCCTAGAAGATGCACATGTTGAACTTGGCTTAGCCCTTTTGTCAATATGTCTGCGAGTTGTTGCTGTGTGTGGACAAGCAGTGTCAACTTATCCTGCTTTGATCTTATCCCGGATAAAATGACAATCTATCTCAATGTGTTTTGTCCTTTTATGTAACACTGGATTAGCTGCTAGTTGTATAGCTGATTTGCTGTCACTGAAGACTGTAATAGGCATTTGAACATTCACTCCTAATTCCTTGAACAATCCTAGAAGCCAAGTGATTTCTGAGACTGCTGATGCCATACTTCTGTACTCAGCTTCAACTGAGCTTCTTGAAACAGTTTGTTGTTTCTTTGATTTCCAAGAAACTAAGGACTCTCCAAACTTAATGACATATCCTGTGATAGATCTTCTTGTGTTAGGACAGGCTGCCAATCAGAATCACACCGACAAGTAATTATGTTGGTAGGTTCAGAGTGTAACCAAACACCTTGACCAACTGAACCTTTCAAATATCTAATCACTCTAGTAGTTGCTTCCATATGTGATTTCTTGGGAGATTGCATGAACTGGCTTAAGGTTTGCACTGCATAACTTATGTCTGGCCTGGTGATAGTAACATATAGCAATTTACCAACCAACCTTTGATATGAAGTAATGTCATGCAGTACAACATCTTTATTATAGCAGTTGCTTGATCATGCTCTACAGAAGTTAATCTCAAATTGGACTCCATTGGTGTGGTTGCAGGTTTAGCACTTGTTAATCCAGCTTCAGCAATAAGTTCCAATATATATTTCCTTTGATTCAAAATAATTCCTCCAGAGGATCTTAACACTTCAATGCCTAAGAAAAATTTAAGTTCACCTAGATCCTTCAGTTTGAACTGTTTGTGTAGATATGCCTTAACTTCAGCAATCAGTTGTGTGTTACTTCCTGTGATCAATAGATCATCTACATAAACTAGAACAATGACAATATCTTCCCCCTTTTTTTAGTGTGAACAGTGAGTAGTCATGAGCACTCTGACTAAAACCTGTGGCTTGTAATACCTTTGTAAGTTTCAGGTTCCACTGTCTTGAGGCTTGTTTAAGTCCATACAAAGACTTTAACAACTTGCAGACTTTGTTTTCACCTGGTTTTGCAAAACCTTCAGGCATTTTCATATGACTTCTTCATCTAAATCACCCTGTAAGAAAGCATTATAGACATCCATCTGGTACAATGTCCAGCCTTTTGATACTGCCAATGCAATGACACATCTAACTGTTACCATCTTGGCTACTGGAGAAAAAGTGTCATGATAATCCAATCCTTCTTGTTGACTGTATCCCTTTGCTACAAGTCTTGCTTTAAACCTTTCTATCTTACCATTTGCCTTATACTTTACTTTATATATCCACTTGGAACCAACTGCATGTATACCTTCTGGTAGTTAAACTACTTGCCATGTATTATTTTCTTCAAGAGCTTTGATTTCCTGCTTCATAGCTTGTATCCACCTTTCATCTTGTGAAGCTTGATTGAAATTCTTAGGTTCTGTATACTCTGAAAGTTTACTCAGAAAACTTCTACACTCAGGTTTTAACTTTTCATAATTCAGATAGTTTTCCATAGGATGTTTAGTGCTACTATGGCCTTTAGTAATGACATAATCTTTCATCCACATTGGCTCCTTGATGCTTCTTGAAGATCTTCTAACATAAGAGTCAACATGTGATGGTATGGCATGAGTGTTTTCAGAAACTTCCTCTGTTGTACTTGGTCTAGACATCTGATCTTCTGAAGAATTCTCAGTCTCATTACTCTGACTGTCTTCATGAACTATACTAGTGTCTGCATGTTCACTATTATCAATCTCAGCTTCAATAGTTTGGTTCTCTGCTTTCTCTAAAGGTGAACAATGTATATCAACCAATGGATCAAGTTGAGGCCTCACTTTAGCAAAAGGAAATATTTCTTCATGAAATACCACATCTCTGTTCACATGCACCTTAGTAGAGTGGATATCCAATAACACATATCCTTTCTGTAATTCTGAGTACCCCAAGAGAATAGCTGCACTAGCTCTGGCTGAAAACTTATCCCCTTTAGGCATTGTGGTAGCATAGCAAAGACAACCTATAACCTTTAGATGAGATAAACTAGGTTGTTTACAATAAAGTAACTCATAGGCACTCTTGTTGAAATTGACTGATGAGGGTAATCTATTAATCAAATACACTGCAGCCTTAATGCAATAACCCCAAAATCTGATAGGTAGATGAGCTTGAAATCTGATTGCTCTTGCAATATTAAGGATGTGTCTGTGCTTTCTTTCAACCACACCATTTTGTTGTGGTGTGTGAGGGCAACTACTCTGATGTAATATTCCTAGATGATTGAATAAGTCACTACACTGTGAATTAAGGAACTCTGTGCCATTATCTGATCTCACAACTTTGACATGAGAATTGAACTGAGTTTTGATCATTGAGAAGAAATTTTGATAGCTACAATGGTTTCTGATTTTAACTGCAACAAATGAACCCATACAAATCTACTATAGTCATCTACTATAGTAAGGAAGTAATGCTTTCTATCTAGAGTAGGAGTCTTATAAGGTCCCCATAGATCCATACGAACAACATCAAACATCATGGATGCTCTAGTAGTACTAATAGGAAAAGTAAGTCTAGTTTGCTTGGCTAAAGGACAAACATGACAATGAGCTAATATTCCATCACCTTTACTACTTGTATCTAACTTGAGAAATCTCAATATCTGTTGAGATGGATGTCCTAACCTTCTGTGCCATATTTCTGTGTCTTGTATTACCACTCCTGCAGCTACTATTTCTTGAGCACACTTTATTTCTTCCTTCTATTTAGATGAAAAAGTAGCCTTAAAACTGTATAATCCTCCTTCTTCTCTACCAATCCCCTTCACCCTGCCACTGCAGAGGTCCTGAAACACACAAAAGTCAGGGTAAAATGATACAAAACAATTTAGTTCTCTTGTAATCTTTGACACTGACAATAGACTGAACTTGAAATATGGCACATGTAAAACACTTTTGGCCACTTCATTATCAAATATAGGTGTTTCACCAATGTGACTGACTATAACCTTATCACCTGTTGGAAGATGAACTTGATTCATTTGTGACTTTGTTAATTCATGTCTCCTAGTTAATAACTGCTTATTTGCAATGATATGATGAGTTGCACCTGAATCAACAATCCAATCCTGAATAGCAAGATTTCTCATTAAACAAGTTGTAATACCTGCCATATTGACTTGTTTTTTTTCTTGCACATCTCTGTTTAACATCTCCATTATTTGTTTATACTCATTCTCAATGAATGTTTGTCCCTTTGGCACCTTCTGCATGTTATTGTTTTCCATCTGATTATTTGATACAGCATTAGGATGATCACAGTGATCATTAGAGATGTTATTTGCAGCTTGATATCCTCTTCCATATCCACCATTATTTCCTGAACTTTGTCCTCCATATCCATTGAATTGACTTGTGCCTGTACCATTTCTCATGTTTCCATTCCCATTTCCATAACCTGGTTTCTTCCTTTGTTTCCAGTCACTTGGATAACCAATCAACTTGTAGCAATTATCCTTTGTGTGACCAAGGAAATGGCAGTAATCACATTTCTTTCCTTTGTAATGTTCCTTTCCAGCTCCTTGATTTCTGTTAACACTCATCACCATAGAACTTGGTTTTTCAACTGCATTATCCATACAACTTGAGTGCTGAATCTCATCTTCTATAATCATAGCATAAGCTTGATTCATAGATGGTGTAGTTCCTTTAAGTAGTATCTGTCTCCTAGCCTGATCATATGATTCATTTAGGCCACTTAGGAATTGAATCAATTTCATCTGCTCCAAATGATCATTATACTCCTTCAATTGAGAACAAGTACTACATGGATTTGGAACTATAGCATCATACTCATTCCATAGTATTTTCAACTTTGAGAAGTAATGAGATACAGAATATGTACCTTGTGAGAGAGTGGTGATATCTCTATGTAATTCATAGATCCTTACTCTATTCACCTTGTCGAATATTTCCTTTAGATCATTCCATACTGAGAAAGAATTTGTGGCATACACAATACCACTAAGTAGCTCTTCACTGACTGTGTTCATCAGCCAAGACAGCACACTTGCATTGCAAGTTTCCCATTGCTCATGCAATTCATCTTTGTACAGGGCTCTAGTGCAGGCACCAGTTATAAAACCATATTTCCTCTTCCCTAATAGTGGAATCCTCATTGCTCTACTCCAAACTCCATAATTTTCAGATCCAACCAGCTTGATTGGAATCAACACAGCACTAGAATTATCAGAGTTTCCAATGAACAATGGATCATTCTGATCTATCTTTATTCCTACCATATTTGTAGATCTTAAGCTACAAATTATCACCAATCGACAGAGATTTAAACTCCACTAATTATACAGATCACACTGCTCTGATACCATGAACAAAAACAGTAAGCTTCCAAGCCTTTACTCCATTGAAGAGGCTTGAAGCTTTAGCAAGAAGAAGAAGAAGAATGGAAAGTATAACTGTTGTATTGAATTCATATACTACACGTGAGGATCTGTATTGCTTATATAGCAATCAGATGCTGAAAACAAAATACAAACTAACTAACTAATTCTACACACTAATCGATGTAACAACCTACTTACTTGAAATTACAATAATAGGCCTAACTAACTACCAACTAACTTCAACTTCTAAATAACTTTTGAATAGTTAGTTGCTGCCACTAACTAACTCATCTTCAACTTCTCTTAACAGGTTTGTCGATCTATAGCAACGATTTTCTCTGTGTTGCTATAGGCCTATTTTCCAGTAGTGAAAGTGGAAAGTTTCAAAGATGAAAAGTTAGATTAGCATGTTTGCAATAAATTTAAAAGTGAAAGAAAATAAATTGCGATCACAATAAAATAAGTTGAAACATAACTTTATTGATCAAGATAGAGGGTACAATTCTGTTGATCCCTAGATTCTACTCTCCTAAGATTTATCCATGGTTCGAAGATCATTTGTGCACATTTCTCGACTCATGATGATTTGGACTTGATCTACCTAATTTGAGATCGCTAGTGGCATATTTCTCAAACTTAGATGATTTAGATTTGGTCTACATAATTTGAGGGTTGTTAGTGGCGTATTTCTCAAACTAAGATGATTTAGACTTGATCTACGTAATTCGAGAGTCATTAGTGACGTATTTTTCGAATTGAATAATTTGAACTTTATCTCTTTATGAATATTCCATGAATATGTGGAATACTTAAGATTTTTAAGATCCTTAAAAATAACAAAGAGTTTATGTGGCATTTTAGATATCTTTTAAGAGAATTTAGTACCCTTTAAGGCATAAACTGGGGTTTAGGTTGAATAGCCTCCTAGATATTTAATTGAAATTGAACACAACTTCTAGAGTCCCAATTAAAATTAAACACGTCTTGTAGAGTCCCAGAAAATTTCAGCGGCTACAAATTTCCCATGTTTTAAGACTTATAGGAGTGTAGACTCGATAAAACTCAAAGACGAGGCATGAAGTTCTCGTTCAAAGTAAAGAATACAGTTGTCAATGCCTTAAAGACAAATTTAAAAGGTGTGATTGTCCTTACTTGAACAGTAGAAATTTTTGAGGATGATTGTTTAGGTGATCACAATCCTAATCAACCTTGTGAGAATTTGGTACCAAGTACTTCTCAAGATGAAAATCCATGTGAGCGTGTTGCATCCCTCGAGAAATCATTGGTGAAAATTGTTGCTTATGTACGAGAGGAGAAATTGAGAAGTACTGAAAAGAACAAAAAAAAGAAAGGTAGATAAATTTACATATTATTTTTGTGAAATAATTTATTTGTGTTAATGCTTAGCTACTGATCATGCAGTAGATGACAACTTTTCAGCACCAACAGTTGATGACAACATCTTTCTATTAGATATCGTCGATGATGATGTTACTACAGTTGATTAATATTCTTTGCTGAAAAAGTTGATGAAGTTGTAGAAGATATGAAGGAAGAGGAGATGAAAGAAAAAGATGACTAGAAAAAAAGAGGAGAAGATGGAAGAGAACAATGAAAAAAAAAGCTTGAAGAAAAGAAAGAAAAAGAAAGTGAATAGGAGAAGCTCGAAGAGAGGAAAAATGAAGAAAATAAATCAAATGGAGAAGAAGAGAAAGAACAAAAAGAGAAGAAGATACCAGGGAATGAAGAAGAGGACGAGTTGAAAGAAGAAGGCTTGGCCATTGATGTGGCAGAATTGGAAAAAGAAGTAGACGTGATGTATATTGTGATGGAGATTAATGGTGAGGTAGGTAGGAATGATTAAGACATTTGTGGTTGTTGGTCTTTTAAGACAGTTTTTCAAATAGGGAATTTTTGAAGACAATTGATTTTTGTGATAGTTGTGTTTCCTCTAATTTTGAAGACAATTAATTTTTGAGATAGTTGATTTTTTAAGACAATTAGTTTTTGAAGTTGTTTTTTAAGAAAATGATTAAAATTTTTTGTTGTTTTGCTATTTTTGATGAGAAAAATATACGTATGATAGTTTTACATGTTTTATTATGAAGGATTTTTAGATTTCTTATTAATTTATGTTTTAATAATATGTCATTTTCGCTATCACTGTTGATCTATTTAGTAGTCAATTATCGATAATAAAGTTGTATGTTTAATATATATATTTTTATCACTCTTTATCTGTAACATTATCAATCAAACATAAAATATATAAGAGTGCAATAAATATAGAGAATTTTTTTATTTATTCAGCACTACATTTTTGTTACACATTCTAAAAATCAAACAGAAAAAATAAATCACACAATATAATTTTTAGATATTTTTCTTTTTCTTCTGTCAAAATTAGCCTTTCTTTTAGTTGATCTCTATCTATTTCAACATATTTAGCAACACTTTCAAGTAATTCCTCTGCACTTCGGCTTCTTTTAAGAAAGTCATTAGCAAATCTTTTTTTTCATCAAATTTTTTATGTTATTTTAATATTTCAAATTTTGCAATTCCTTGAAAAATGCATGGGTTACTCGTAGATGATTTATTTTCAAGCCACCTAACAAAAGAGCATCTGCAACTGCACAGTTAAAGAATTAACGAGCTAGATTTGTATCGGTGTGTGACGTCCTTAACATAGTTTAATTACCACAATGACAATTGTAACATTTTTTGCATTGGTTGTTTGAGACGCTTGACACATTGTAAAAATGGAGGTGTTGAAGTTGTTTATGAGGGTTTGAGTTGTGATTAGGGATTGTCTTCCTTTTATACAAAAAAGTAATCAAATGTTACTGTTGGAAAGTAGCATTTAATCTTTTCTTATCGTTGTAAAATTTGTATGTCGAAATATTTACTGGTTGTCAAAATGTATAGACCCCCTATATGATCGATGCATCTCCAAGTGTGGTGTATGTATGACCAATGAGATTTACACATCGACATTAGTAAGATATATTGCAATTTATATCTATGTAAAAACATTGTCGATACTATACTTATTAGAATATAAAACTTATATATAGACCAAAATTAGTTTTAAAAAGACAAAAATTAATTACCAATAAATTATATTTTTGAAATTTATTCAATTAAATAAGTTTAAACAAGTCATATGATCATGTAAGAGTACACATAAATTCAGTGTGGTAATTAAAGATGTATGATGAATAGTTGTGGTTACACAATCAGCATTTTACTAAGAATGAATAGCTTGTATTGTTGCTTGATATACTTCTATGAGGTTAGTTAAACAGAAGTCTTGGCCAAGGAATGAGTAAGGTTACTTGAGGAATATTCCTTTCTTATTATGATATTGATGTATGTGCATGGTTTATATTGACCAATTATGACGTTTATGTTGTTTATTCTGTCTTTATATTTAGTACTTAATTGTAGTAACACATATTCTTGCCGACATTCTTATGAAATGCAGGATTTGGTGACATAGATTCTCATACTCGTGGCTAGAGCTTCATTGTTGATCAAGCAAGTGAAGGTTTGGTGAGTCCTCATTGTGTCCGAGGATGTGATCACCCATTTCTCTTTTGTCTTTTCTTTTATGTCTTGGACAATTTTATGAGTTGCATCCCAAGACTTTATTCATGTTTTTAGATGGTTTGGGACTATCGTATTAGACTTCCCCTCGTTTTATAAAAAACTTTGATTGTATTGAAAAGTATTAAACTTTTGCACCTTTTCTAATGTATTGCTCTTTTTGTAATGTGCTCTTACATATATTGTTATTTTGTTATTGTTGATTGTTATCAATTATGTTATAAGTTTTTTTTAACAGAACATATTCACTTTAAATAGATAGTACAAATTTATGAGTATTTTAAATAATTTTTAGAATTTATGAGTATAAATCAAATTTTTAAGGGTGACTTTCACATATAACAAACAAAAAATTCATATTTGTATGCTATAGCAAAGTTTGCATAATTACGCTCCATAGCAAACATATAACTGTATAATTCGCTATACATATACAATTGTATAATTCGCTGGCCTAAATTGTATAATTCGCTGGCCTCACTATACATATACAATTGTATGATTCGCTTGCCTATTTCGCTGCAATTGTATAATTAGCTGGCCTATTTCACTGCAATTGCATAATTCGCTGGCCTATTTCGTTATAATATGTGTATAAAATTTGCTTTGCATACAATTGAATCGAAGTGTAATGTTCGTATATTGTATAATTATAAGTATATAGGAAAAAAATATATGTTTTTGTCTCGCTTTATACAAAAACAGAAATACAATTTATACATTTCTGTTGTATAAAACTAGAGTTTATTGTATTTCACTGCAATTGTATAATTCGCTGGCCTTTTTCGCTACAATATTTGTATAAAATTTACATTTGTATAAAACTAAATCGAAGTAAAATATTTGTAAATTGTATAATTAGGTGTATACCACGAAGATATATGTTTTTGCATGTGTACATACAATTTTCTCTTGCTTAATACAAAACAGAAACACAATTTATACACTTTTGTGGTATAAAGCAAGAGAGGCGAGCAGAGGGAGAGTGACAAGCAAAAAAGGGAGAGTGGCGAGCGAGAGTTTTGGAAGAGAGACGACTGACAAATGTTTGCTATGGGGCACAATTAAATCAAACAGTAGCTACTCCATTTAATTTAAGTTATTAGTTTTCTACTATATACAATTATTCCTTTTTTAAAATAGCCAAATATTCTTGAGAAAACTTGGGGTCAAACACTTGGTGTAATTTCACCAAAAACTTGACCCAAATATTATTTGCTAAAAATATTTGGAAACTTGGGACCTAACGCTTGCTTTGGGCTTTAATTAAATTTATATATATTGAATTTAAATAAATAACTGAATTATATTAATTTATAATATTTATTTGAACTATTTTATTCATAAATTTGACGTTTTCTTTTAAAAAAGTTAACTTCACAAAGTTTGAAATGTTAAAAGGTCTATTTATAGACTAAAACAATTATGCAGACATGCAATACGATTTTGTAGTATTATCTCTTTAGGTGGATGATATATATACATTTAGTTGATAATAGGAAAGACTCGGGAGAATACATTCTTCGATTTAAAATTCATAGAGATTACTATGCGAATCTAATCGTTATGTCAGGAAGTTGCATATTGAAAGTCATTTTAATATGACGGCAGTAGATAGTATCATACATACATACATACATTATTAGACACAAAAGTTAGTCCAAACTTCTATACAAAAAATCCTCCTCCTTGCTTTGCTTCATTAATTAATCAACTGGCGTTATCTGTTTCCAAAATGTAATTTGTATTAACAAGCAATATTGTCTGAGAATAAAACTAGTGATATTTTATAAGAGAACCCTACACTTGACCTTAGCATATTATGTACCCCTGCAACTTTGGCCGAATTCATGTGGTATAGTTAATAACATATATATATATATATATGAGTAGCTACTTTTATGATACAAAATTTTAAACAATGAGCCAAAAACCTCGAATTTTCATCGTTCTGGTGGGGATTTTGTACCTTCTGAAACACGGGAGGCGTGTTTTGTCCTAACACTGCCTGGAAATGTTGATTCCGATTTATGTCGAGACTTGGACATCTTTTTCTGATCCCCATATTGACGACCAGACATATATTTAGAAGGAAGCTGTTCTAAAGCACTCAGCACAAATGACATATCTGGTCTTCCTTTTGCTTCAGGATGTACACAATGCAATGCAAGAGTGGCTGCTATTGTAGCTGCTTTTCTAGGATATTGCCCTTCTAACTTGGTGTCCATAATCCTGAACAACTTTTTCTTGTCATGCAAGTAAGGCGTTGCCCACTCTATCAAATTTTGCTCTGCACCAGCCTTTCTTTTGTCCATTACACGACGACCAGTAAGAAGCTCAAGTAAAACAACCCCAAAGCTATAAACATCACATTTCGCTGTTAGTTTACCTGCCAAATACAAACACACGCGGTCAAACTAGCCCGCAGTGATATAAAGCAACAGCACTGTTAGGAATGAAAATAACTAAACCTGTAGCAAGATATTCAGGAGCAGTATATCCTTGAGTACCCATAACTTGAGTAGACACATGAGAATGATCACCAGTTGGACCAGATTTTGCCAAGCCAAAATCTGAAAGTTTTGCATTAAATTCCTACACCAAAAGAAAATGAATATCAATCACTAAGTAGTAAGTACACATCCACCCACCAATCAATCAACATATTAAAGGTACCCATGTAAGAAAAAAAAAGTAATTCTTGAGTATATATACCGAGTCTAAAAGGATGTTAGAAGCTTTAAAATCACGATATATAACTTGTGGTTCCGCATCATGCAAAAAGGAAAGACCTCGAGCAGCAGCTATAGCAACTTTAATTCTTGTGGCCCAGGGAAGAACTGGTGCACTCTCTGCAAACCGCACAGTTTCAAAACTTTTAAGAACACCTCATAATATATATATATATATATATATATATATATATATATTAATATCTTGGAAATAAAGACTCACTTGGAAACAAATGGTTCTCCAAGCTCCCTCTTGGCATAAATTCATATACTAAAAGGCGGTTTTCACCTTCCAAGCAGAATCCAATGAGCTTGACCAAGTTTGGATGATGAAGTTGTCCAAGATAATTCACTTCTGACTACATATGAATTAAGAAATCCATCAACACATAAGAGGAAATTGATTATCAATAGGAAAAAGATGAAAGAACGTACCAGCCACTCCTTATGACCCTGCAAACCTCTGGGCTTGAGTTTTTTGACTGCAACTCCAAGTCCAGATCCAGGTGCTGCAGCAGTAAGAGTGTTTTTGCATAGCCATCCCTTATAAACATAACCAAAACCTCCTTCACCAAGAAGGCAATCAGAATGGAAATTGGTGGTAGCTTTTGTAAGTTCAGAGAGCAAAAGAGCTCTTAGATAAGGAGACGATAATATTTCACTCTCAGACCTTTGACTTGGTACAATCCCTGTTCTCTTTTTCCTAGTACAATTCTGGTTTGGAACAGGTAATGGGTGACTCCAGTCTGTTCCTCCTGAATAGTATGAAAATTCTGATATATAAACCACAACAAACATGGATATATATATGAGATCGATACCCATTCATCAGTGTACATTATATTTTCTAACAATGAAAACAAATCAAAAGCATTGGATTGGAAAAATGAAGGTAAATAAAAATATAATTGAAAAATACCAGTGGAGGTGGGAAACGTCAAGGTTCCAGCGTTAGGAATTCCTGCAACTTGATCCCGCGCACGAACGCAGCAGGTTATCCAGTTGCCCATATAATTAAAATATTTGTTGTAGATGAAAGACAATTCATTCAACCCTAAATCTCATTATTTTCTGCACTAATAATGAGAGGTAAACTCAACCTGCGGTTCTGCGATATTAACGCTAAACATGCAAAAGGTCAAACCTGACTTGGACGCCACACCATATGTATCTTCTTTCTAGACTCTACTATCATATCACCAAAAACATCCTTTTTAACTTCCACGTACCATACTTTTGGCAATTTATAATATCTTTTTCTATTTTTAAATTAATTAGATGCTTTTTATTTTTTAATTAAAAAGTACTTCCTCCAATTAAAAAGTGATATCATTTCCTTTTTAGGCGATTTAAAAAAGAATGATTTTTTTTGAAACATTTTAATTTCAGTTATTCACGTGACATGTTTAAGGTCACAAGATCAAAAGACAATTTTGTACATTTGACCTAAGTTTAATTTATTACTACAAAATTCAAAAGTTTTCTTTATATTCTTAAACTTCGTGTCAATTCAAACCAGGTCATTCATTGTGAAACGGAGGGAGTATTAAAATTTAAAGGGTGAAAATTTTCAAAAAAGATAAAATAATATAGTTTGAAATGTGTTATTTTACAATTCTAATCAAATTTTTCTGGTACAAAAAAAATTCTTTTTTTCAACATCCATGTTGGGGTATAATTTTGATGATTGATAAACTAAATTATAATATAATGACTAGGGAAATTGTTCGGAAATAACTGGACATATATGTCACTTTTTATAATTGGCTCGTGAAGGTGTTTTTCGTAGTAGTGAATCAGGTTGAGACCCTTGATATGATTACATGTTGATGAGTTTATTTGTGCTTCCGTGCAGAGGTGAATTTTGAATTTTGAGAAGACGGGTGCACTATTATTTTAACGATAAGATCTAAAATTATAGGGAAAACAACCTAATTATACCCCTCAACTATGGGATTAAGAGTTAATGTGCATCTCGTTTAAAAGTGACTCATATGAATAATGTCATACAAATGTCTCACATACACTCTTTTTTTCTAATGAACACAAAAAAAAATTCATTTAGGTGTATATTTAATCTTTCTAATATTTTTAGACCTTTTTTTATTGAGAAAATTATATATAATAGCTATTATATTCTAAGTGTTTTGATGATCCTCATAGCCCGACAAAGTTCTCTTCATTACATGCACAATGGGTTATAGATGTAAAATTATCTCGTCAATCGGTGGTTGGTGAGGTGCTAGTGCACCGAACAAATCAGAATGGACCAGGATGTTTGTCCAACGGGAAATGACTCTTTATGATTGATATTTTCAACATGACAAAAAACATGTTAAATTCAATCATTCAAAGGAAGAAGTCAGCCAACAAGTCTCTTCTGGAATTCTCAAAGAATGCAGCAAGGGACCTGGTCCCGGAAAATCTGTGTACAAGAAAAGGACAAAAAGACAGCTGTCAAAAAGTTGCCAACTCTGATGTGGTTGTTGCACGACTTTTCATGACAACAGGCTCTCAGCCAATAGACTTGTCTCAAGGGTTTGTGCCCATTTGAATGTAGTCTTTTCTCCAACAACACTAACACAAGATTTTGGCAAAACAAAACACACAAGCTAAAAGAGAAAAAGCCATTTCAAGGTAGAACAAAACTCATACTCATCAAAAGGATATGATAAGGGTACTGAAGCATCTTTATTGAGTTTGAGTTTTGTGTCTATCACTTATAGTTTTTGCAACTTAAAAATTCTCAAGAACGCTTGCAAAACCTAAACTTTCAAGAAGTATTCTCCGGCAAGCACAACAAGGACCTGATCAAGCTGTAGCCATTAGAGTGTGTCTTAGGATTTATACTTCCTTGCGTAGTGATACACTCAAACTTACTTCTCAAATAAGAAGTAAAGCGGTCGTGTCAAGTAAATAACCAAACTAGTGAGGTTGGGATCGTTCCCACGAGGAAAATAGTCTAAACTTAACTTCAACCTGTTATTACTATTGTTTGGCCAATGACTTCCTTGGAGAGTAAAAACAATAAAGGGGGGTTCATATTTCTAAATGAGTGAACAT